CCAAAACCGCTGATTGTGGGATTTATGTCAATCTCCTCTGGAGGTACCCCATGGCTTTGAAGGTGAAGTGCTGGAGGAGGGAAGTGAAGAAGATAAAGAGCTCTTATGTGAGCCAAAGCCTCGCCAGTTCAAAAATCATATTTTCTCCATGTATCAGCAATTTAATTGTCTGTGATTTGCCTCAGTGGGAACCAATGAGGAATCAGTAGGGTTATGTTTGTCCCCATATGTCTAAAACGGTAAATGTAGCATGTGTCAACCTCAGTTTTCATAAAGAGGTCAAATTTGTATAGTCTAATATATACAATGAAGCAGTGAAACAGAAAAACCAGAGAAATCAAAGTTGTCAAAATTATATTCTGTGTCAGGATTGTCTTTCTCCATAGGAGGAGTTTCACTTTTTTTATACATACCTTATATAGGCCTACCATATTTTCTACATTTCAATTATTTATAGCCTATATAATTTCTTCTTCATTTAAAATACATTTACAATTAACAATGACTGGTAGGCTATACAAAGAGTGGAATAAAAATTGTAAAAAATATATATATATTTGTTTTATTAGCTCTGGCAAAATCAATTGGCTCTGGTCTGGTCCGCCTATGTCTTTCTCCTATGAAAGAGAACAACATAATTAATACAATAATTATACCGCAGTCTCACAAGCAGAATGTGAGCAAATATTTAAGTAGGCCTGTTTGTTGACAGGAAAAAGGATAAATAAGTACATGTTTCCATTTATTGTTACCTCTTGAATTTTTAGCACAAAAGCATCAATTAAGTCCTGCGGACATGAGGGGTCCACATTATTTATCCGTGCCTTGGCCTGACATTTACATTTACAGTACCTTGTCTATGTCTAAACAGCTGGTGGTGTTAAACCAGTAAAAAGGCTACCTAGCTTAGGAAATACATTATAGATTTATAAAGAAAGAAAATAAAGGTATTTATGCATGAAATATTCAGATGACTTACAAAACCAAAATATTATAATATTATAACAAATTTAATTCAGATTTAGCTTAACAAATTTGCTGTCGCAGGGCTATTTGTTTAGCTTTTTACTCCTGTTTGTTTTACTTTTTACTACACTCTGGAAACTTCCATTCCACAAAAGGTTCTTTAGAGTGAAAAAGGTTCTTCTAAGAACTGTTAACAGGAAGGTTCTTTGGGGAACAAAAAATGGTTCTTCTATGGCATTGCCTTGAAAACCCCCTTTATTTTTAAGAGTGTATACATGACAATTAAAACTTCTTAGGAGTACAATACCTGTCCAATAGGGCTATTGAGGACAGTGAAGACAGAATTTACAGTCTGAAGCAGAAACTTAAACGGTGGATCCTCAAATTCAAACCTATGCCAAAAGACAATGCTGCAGATCACACTGACCACAACATTAGACAGCATGTCTGCAGGGCTGAATGCACAGCCTTTGAGGAGAAAAAAACATAAGATCAAAATACTAAGATCAAGAGTTTAGAGTTTATGTCAACTGATAACCTGAATATAAAAAAGGACATGCAGAGAATATTAAATTATTTAACCTTATATATATATTAGACATATTATATATTAAACATTTCCACAAGATTCTCAGCCTCTCCCTGATTCGTTCCTCGATGCTCCTGCGGCCCATTCTGAAGTTCTTCAGTGTCATAAGAGTGAACCTGCGCATCTCCTTCCATCGGTATCCACCGGTGGACAGAACACCTGCACACAGAGACAATGTAAACAGCATTTCTGGTCTTCTAATGTTAAACAAAAATAGTGAACTCACCATATCCAAGTGTGATCTTCATCAACAGGGGATAGTTGGCCCTGACACTGAATTCTTTACCAAGACCAACCACAGTATCCTTTAGGGCTTGACATCCAGAAAT